ATCAGATGTTCCATCCAAAGTCAAGGCTCGACTTAGCTCCTTGTGTTTGAACATGAAAAGCAAAGTCGGAGCCAAGATGATAACCAGCCAACGAACGCCATGAGACGTTGCGGCAACACCCAAAAAGTCGCACAGAGTTGAAGACATTCAAGAGAACAACAGACATTGAAGTCTTTTTTTCTCGTCAAGATCGGTTTTCAAAAGGTTCTTGATAAATAATACAGTGGGACGTCTACTTATGAAATAAATATGTTCTGGAAGAAATTTGTTAACTAGAAAATGTTGTAAGTAGAGACGCGTTTTCCATGTAAATGCTCTAATCCGTTCCAAGTGCACCGAAATTCAGACATAAATGTTTTCTAAAACATAAAAATACATCAAATTATGTAACACGATTCTATGTAACATAAGGTATGTTCTTTAATGAAAGTGTTGAACTTGATAACAGTCATTTTCCTTTTGAAACTCTGAACTTAAAGTATGTTTGCTGTCAAAGAAAGTGAGTCGGTTGAATTTATAGAATACATGCACGTCATGGCGCACGGTCAGGATGGCGCCACCTCCGCCTCAATTTGAGCCAGGCAAAATCCTGCATATGATCACAATGATGGAAATGCAGAAACGCAGATCACGTGAAAGACAAACCAGGGCTGGGTAGCAGGATAAGAAGCATTTGGCGTTATTTCGGGGGGGGTGACTGGGAGGCTTTACAAACTGTGCAAACCATGCTTTCGAAATTGATCTGGAAAAAAAAAAGGCGTGCCTGCGTTTGTTTGTTTTGTTTTTTTAAATCCCCAACAAGCTTCGAGTGCCTGGATGGATCGGATCAATGTGCTGCAGGAGACGCATCCCAGCTTTCAGGGAACTAAAGTCCCCCCAGGGGGGGGGTGAAGTTGACAAAAATCCAATTGGGCACAAACACTGCACACTTGTGTCTCACTCGGTCCGCTGCGGCTGAGCGCTGCCTGTGCAAGTGGCGCTTTGACACGTCGCTGGAATGTCACGTAGGATCTAAAAGCGAGGCGTGTCAAGTAACCAGAAACCTTTTAACAAGCTACAAATGAAGGTTTAACACTTCAAAGGGTCCATTATGGGTACACTACGGGACTGTGGTTTTTTTTTTTTTTTTTTTTTTTTTTTTAAGCCATGAATACATCTCAATGTGTTGGACACTCGGGATCCTTGCACGTGTGATTTTTGGCCACAGTGTGTTTAACTACAAGACTGAGCTGTTGAAATAAACAGCTTTTTGGGAGGTCTCTCGCTTTAATTAACACCGCGGCTGAGCTTGACAGCTGTGATGGCAGCGAGGGAGCCAATCGCAGGTGCCGCGTGTGGGGTGCAGGCAGGAATTTGAGCGAGTGTTTGACAGAAGAGGCCATGAGCAGAAGTAAGATGACAGGTGCTTGGACTGATCCGGCACCGTGCTGCCAGAATTAGTTTGCCTTTGGGAGCTCCGGTAGAAACGCGGCCGAGTGAATGAAAATGGCAGCTTGCGAATGTGTTGCACACCAAATTGTATCCGACGTCAAAGGGAAATAAAGAAGGCGCCGCTGAAATGTTGGGATGGATGTTCATTTTCGGCTGACCGGATTGGAAATGTTATGAGTGCCCCCCACCCACCACCCTGACCATTTTGAGGCCAAATCTTCACCTCTTAACAAGGTCTTAAAGAAAGTGTAAAAAAGCTATTTCAGTGCAAATGCAGATTTGTACGGTGGTACCTCAACTCACGAACGTCTCTTCATACGAAATTTCCAAGATACGAAGCGCCTGAACAGGAAAATATTGCCTCTTGTTGAGAAAGAAATGTCAAGATACGAAGGGTAAAAATCAGAGTTTCCCGAACGCAACATAGTTACAGCTGCTCTGCCATTGGCTGTTACCGAGCATTTTCCTGGCATCCCATTGGCTAAGAGGGACCTCTACCGTGTGTGTCTTCGCCGCGTCCTCGTCAGGCCATGAGGCGTTCCGATAGTTTTAGGTCAATGTGAATCACCCAGAAAAAGTGTTCGCCATTTGGGTGACCGCTCACGATGTTGATGTTTACCTTGGACATTTTTGAAGGATTGTTAAAAGCTGACAAAAGCGTCCTTGGATCAGTTCTTACGGCAAAAAACACTTCTGAAAGAGAGCATGAACTAAAGCGGGCAAAAAAACGATTAGGACGCAGTTAAAAGTTAAATGACCATCATTTTTATTCTTTGTTATTTTATATTTTGCACAACTCTCATTAATTGTGTCATAATCGAAATGTAACATGTATTTGTTCCATGTTTTGATGCATTTTTATGCTTCCTAAAACATTTATGTCTGAATTTTCAGGGGCTTGGAACGAATTAGGGCATTTACATGGAAAACGCGTCTCTACTTACAACATTTTCGATTTAAGAAATTTCTTCCGGAACCAATTAATTTCATAAGTCAAAGTACCACTGTACTGAAGTGCCGACGCATTGTGAAAAGCATTTTGGGCGTCGTCACCGGTCATGTTTTGAACCAGACAAAGAAATCTTTCAGTTGCGTGTGACCACAACTTGTGGGAAAACACATCGACTTATCACAGAATGAAATTTCTACAAAGGAAGAATTGTCAAGACCTCCCCCTTCTTTGCTCACCACGCATACCACCACCCGCATTCTCCGTTTCAGCGGTTTTATGAGCTCCGCCGTTCCCAAAGTCAGCAGCGCGATTGTTTTGTTCTCGTCCATTTTCTGCCGCGTACGACCGCAACACTCGGCAACAATTCATACATTTCACCTCCTTAGGATGCAATGCATTGCACTGTGTGACGATATCACACTGTCCACTTTGCTTTCTATTTATTTGCATTTGCTCGTATCGTCCTTTGCGCTGTCTGCTGCCGACTCGCCATCGCCAGCAAGAATCTCTTCTCGGTGGCCTTAGCTGGCTATAAACAGAGGTTGAAATGAATCAATGGAGTACGTCTTTGTCCTGGTTTCTCAGGACAACACGAGTAAGTCGGCAATCCTAATAGAAAATGTAAACTGAGCTACGTCTCACCTCTGAAGCACAACATTCGTCTAAAATTCAAACAGTCAGACGGTGGAAGCACCCGAGAATGGATATTTTCTTTGTTTGAGACAAGCCGCCGCGCAGAACCGAGTGGCGCTCCTCCTCCTCCTCCGTGTTACTGTCAGTACGTAAACCGTAATTGTCTGCCAAGTTTCCATCGCGGCAGCAAAAGGCAACGCGCAAGTCGAGGCCTGCTTCCTAAGCCTGCCATTTTGACACACGCTGATGAAGATGCTCATCCGGGCTTTGTGTCGAGGATTAGGAGAGGCAGAAATATTGCGACCACAGAGAGAGAGACTTCCAAAAATTCCTCGCAACCCGTTTGTCCCCGATTAGAAATGTCTTGAAGAATTCATGCCGGTGCCGCACAAGATTGTCACAGGAGCGGCACCGGCGAGAGCGCCCGATCTGCCGGCATCTCAAAATGACATCTTACGTGGGATTAGCCGGTCGTCATGGGGAAACGGTTAAACCGATAGCCCGGAGTGTTACGGGCAAAGAAAGTCGGAAGTCTTTCATTGAAAGAGCCAGCCGACTTGAGGGTTTTCCTGCCGTTGCTCGCAGCACTTGACAAAGCATGACCGGAGGTCTCCCGACTGTTTTGCAATCGAAGAACAGCGAGCGCCACCGAGTCCAATCAGCACTGGTCACTTGGTTGCCTCCCAACCAGGAGACGACTTGAAGCGGCACGGACGGATGAAGGGCCTTTCGATGGTCAGCTATCAAGTCAAGTCGAGGTTATTGTCAAATGTGCGACATGTGCAACCTACAGCGCAGATGAAATGACATTCCTCACGAGAGAGAGGAGCCACTGCGGGTGCCCGCGCCGCCATCGAAAGAACAGTTTACAGAAAATGACAAAATAATACAACACAACACATAAGACGCAGACAATCGTGCGATCTTAACCACTTTCCTGCATACATTTTGTTGTTTGAAGCAGTTAAAGATGAAAGAGGAGCAAATCAAAGTGCCCTTTCACCAGTGGATCAAAGACGTCACGCTGAAAATGTCTGCTACAAGCTAAGTTTGAAAGCAACCAAGAAGCTGTAGTGTCCATTGACGAAAAAAAGAGATTGGCTCTCATCTCCTGTCCCATGTAAATCCGCTTCAATTCCAAGCGGCAACTCCCAGTTCCACATACGCATCTGCGCTGTGCGCTGACGCTCCTTTCTTATCATCGGCTCCTCAAGCCATCCATCCATCCATCCATCCAGCCGCAGACTGTCCAACAGCACCGACATTTCCGCTGAATAGAGCGGGGCTGTGAAAAATGCTGCAGTCCTTTCCGTGACCAAACGACAATAGACGTGACTGTGCGTCTTAGCTTGGACTTTCACCAGCATTGGCTGCCGTGAAGAATCGTCCGGTTCTCTTTGGAGTAGCCCCTCAACGCTTTCTGCATTCGTCGCGGAGCTTAGATCAGCTGTTTCCCGGTGCGGATCGCAAACGGATGCCTTGAAAAAGATGTTTGCGGCCTCCGTTGTTTCAAAGCCTCACAGGCGGCGGTGGACAGTTGCTTCTGGGGAGTCGCAGGCGCAAAGAAAGGGGCCCTTTTAGGATTCATAGTAGCGGGGTGAATCATGCGGGAAATTTATACACCCAAGGGCTCATAAAATCGAATGACTCTGAGATCAATAAAGCGCTCGGGAAAGGTTTCCGCCACATTTATAGGCTTTGTTTTGGGCTCAGTTGAGAACCTGTGAGAGCTCGATTAGGCCAGTGTATAAAATTAATGCTTGATTGCTCACTTTTTACTGCTTGATTTTTTTTTTTTTTTAATGCAAGTGCGCAGAGCAAAGAACAGTCAGGCAGAATTTTTCGGGCTCTGAGATTCAGACATCAAATCGCAGGTAACAGTTGGACTCTTTGAAATCAACACAAATCGGAGGACAACCAGCACCCCGGTTGCGTCTCAGCTTACACTTTCCAAAGTTGGCCATATTTTAAGACAAATAAAATACATTTTAGTTTCGTATTCGGATCGTCCCCACGTAAACATACGATGAGCGAGTGTTGGCCGGCGATGTTGCCGTGGAATCTGCTGCAAAGATACAGCGGGGGGGGACGAGTGAAGCTCACCTTACTCTTGGAAAAAAAAAAGAAGAAAAAAAAAAAACATCCATCAGAGCTGGAAAGACAACGAACATGTGCTCGCCATCTGGAAATAGCAGCCAAAAGTGGATGCATTCTCTCGCCTGAGTCCTGACACAAAGGGCCCATTTTGATTTCATCATCAAAGATTTGTGCCTCGTTTTCAAGGCTGCGGATGAAAACAAATATTGCAGTTGGCATTTGATGTACCTCGCACGCTATCGATTGACGACAGTTGTTTTTATCCGACTTTGGTGTGGCCGCACGATTCAAAGAGAAGCTGCAAAAAAAAAACAAACAAATCACACTCAAATTGGTGAGCCTGAACTAAAGAGAGGCACAAGAAGCAGAACCTCTCCGTAAGTGAGATACGTAACCTGCTATTTTCATCCTGCCGCGGCAGCGCCGACTTTCGCAGGATGGCAAAAAAAACGGGGAGCCTAAACCAACATTCAAATGGAGCTGTTAAGCGTTTGTTGCCAGAGGCCATTTCTGACTGACTGTGCCGCTCTTTTCTTCCGAGGGGGCAGCAGCGGTCTCATTAAAATGAATGAGGAAGCCAGCAGGTCGAAACCACATCTTGGGAGTCGCAGCGAAAGGAGCTCTGCGGTTGGAGAAGGCGATTCGTCGTGCGCCGGAGCTCAAGCAGGTGTCGGGTGGTAATCACCGCCTCCACGTTCGGACCATTGAAATCAAGTCGTAGAAATACGGTTGAGGTTCATATTAAGACCGAAAAACAAATAAAGAGGCTTCATTTGACTGACAAATGACAAAAGCCTGACGCGAATGTGATTTGCATCGCGGATTAGCCTCACTTCTATTTGCATTCATATAACTGAAAGGGAAAAAAAAAAAAAAACGACAACCCTCGCTGTGCCCAATAACTCACTTGGATGTTTCTATCCGGCAGCAGTGGTGCTCAGATGTGAAGCGGCGAGTTGAAACGCACCCACTTGAAAGGCACAGGTCAGAAACCATCAATATCACAAAGGGGTTTTTTTTTTGGGGGGGGCAACGATTGCACATACAGTGGTACCTACTTACAAAAATTAATTGGTTCCGGAAGAAATTTCTTAACTAGAAAATGTAAGTAGGGACGTGTTTTCCATGTAAATGCTCTAATCCGTTCCAAGGCCCCCCCGAAATTCAGACATAAATGTTTTATAAAGCATCAAAATGAGATGCAGAAATGAGAGTTGTGCATCATGTAAAAAAAATAAAGAATAGATTAACGAATAAAAATGATGGTCATTTAACTTTTAACTACATCCTTATTGGGGTTTTTTTTTTTTTGCCCTCTTTAGTTCATGTTCTCTCTCAGAAGTGTTTTTTGCCATAAAAGGACTGATCCAAGGACTTTTGCTTTTGTGGGCTTTTAACAGTCCTTCGAAAATGTCCTCCGGGGCGAATGGTGAGGACGCTGCATTGACACATATCTATATATTTATCAATCTACACACATAGACACATACGGTAGAAATTTCTCTTAGCCAATGGGATGCCAGGAAGGTGCTCGGTAACAGCCAATGGCAGAGCAGCTATAACTATGTTGCGTTCAGGAAACTCGGAATTGCGATAGCGGCCCATATCGTATTTTTACCTTTCATAGCTTGAAATTTATTTCGTAACAAAAGGAAATATTTTTCCTGTTGAGGCGTTTCGTACCTTGAAAATTTCATGCGAAGAAACGTTCGTAAGTAGAGGTAGCACTGTATCTTCAGAAAATGACTGTGTGCCTTGAAATGCATAATTTAAGGTTTCTAAACTGTACGGTCTCGAATGCTTTTCACAATACGATTAAATAAGCCTCAATTATTTCCTACCTCGGCTTTAATTCAACTCACCGGCGAGCGGACGAGCCTGCAAGTTGAGACAGAAAAAAAAATCAACTTGGCCTGAAGGCAACGATGACTCACTGATGTTATTTTGTCTCTAGCAATTGGATTTTTTTTTTTTTTCCTCAACGGGAGGGAGGGTCAAGTCTCTTCCTGTTCCACAACTTTTCAAGGCTGTCACCGTGTGAGGTGTTGACACAGCGAGCCGTCAGTTCACGTCAACGGGCTCCATCATCGCGGCGCTCCTCGACAAACACCTGACTAAACAACAGGTGACATCTCGTCTTTGTCGTAGGACTTCAGCTATGAGGGCTCGGCCTACTTGGAGTTGTGCACTGTTCATTCGCTTCGTGGCGTATTCAGCACAACACATTCCACAATCGATTCGCGGGTATTTTTCCTTTGCCCGGTCCGCTTCGGTCAACCCGTTTCGATTTCGGCGGTGCACGTGGCAGAAGTGGCCCAAGCGAGAGGTCGACCATCTCAGAGGGATGCTCGTATCATTGGGGCGGCGCGGTGGCGACTGGTTAGCACGTCTGCCTCACAGTGCGGGGGTGCAGGGTTCGATTGCGGCTCCCCGATCATATTCTTCCATGCCTGTGTGGCTTTTCTCCGGGTACTCCGGTTTCCTCCCACATTCCAAAAACATGCATGGCGGGCTGATTGAACACTCCAAATTGTCTCTGGGTGTGAGTGTGAGCGTGGATGGTTATTGGTCTCTGTGTGCCCTGAGATTGACTGCCAACCGGTTCAGGGTGTCCCCCGCCTACTGCCCGGAGACAGCTGGGATAGGCTCCGGCACCCCCCGCGACCCTTGTGAGGATAAGCGGATTAGAAAATGGATGGATGGA